TTTTCAACACGATAATGCCAGACCACATTCTGCAGCAATCACAACATCATGGCTACGTAGGAGAAGGATCCGGGTACTGAAATGGCCAGCCTGCAGTCCAGATCTTTCACCTATAGAGAACATTTGAACATCATAAAGAGGAAGGTGCGACAAAGAAGGCCCAAGACGAGTGAACAGTTAGAGGCCTGTATTAGACATGAATGGGAGAGCATTCCTATTTCTAAACTTGAGAAACTGGTCTCCTCTGTCCCCAGACGTCTGTTGAGTGTTGTAAGAAGAATGGGGGATGCCACACAGTGGTAAAAATGGACTTGTCCCAACTTTTTGGGGATTTGTTGACGCCATGAAATTTGGAAACAACAGATTTTCCCCTTAAAATGATCCATTCTCTCAGTTTAAACTTTTAATCTGTGATTTGTGTTCTATTCTGAATAAAATATTAGATGTTGGCACCTCCACATCTTTGCATTCAGTTTTTATTCACAATTTGTTTAGTGTCCCAACTTTTTTGGAATCCAGTTTGTATTTTAATAAATAGTTTACTTTGGATTTTGGTTGAAAGAAGTTATTTAATCTGATCAGATAAAGTCAGTTATCATCACTGCAACCCAGGAAATGATTTACCAAGTTGCATCAGCTTAAAATAACCAGATCAAGAGTTGCATCATGTCACCAGGTTCTGCTCCTTACTGGGTCAGTGTTGAAGCCACCACTCGGCTTTCTGGAGTTCTCTGGTGGATCTGACCAGAGACACCCTGAGGAGGACTCACCGGGAACTGCCCAAGGTAGCTGACTATCACTGTGACAGCTTCAGGGGTCTGTGAGGGAAACAGCTGATGAGAAGGTGCACCGTCCATCGCAACCTTCAGCCGAGAACATGAGTCTTGCAGTGAGAAAAGATTCATCTTCTGCAGTTATCTAAACTTCTAACAATTGTAATTTGAGCAACATGTTTATCTGCTCAAGAGTTGAACAAGTGGACCTAAGCACGACCTCCAGGATCGTGTCCACAGACGAACCGTCTTCCGGTTCGAGGCTGGAGACAAACTGCTCAGTTCGGGGGTAACTGCCTTTCACACAAAGAGACTTTGTGTAAAACAGCAGCTCTGAGAAGATTGTTTTGACTAATTGGGGAACATCCTGACTCCCCTCTGTAGAAAACAGCTTCCAGCTCAAATAACTACTTTTTCACAGGTGTCTCTGAAGGAATAACCACTTTCTGAAAAACACAACAGAGAAATATGTTGTTCACATTATAACATTTCACAATTTCATTATAATGATTGAAAATAACAATCAAAATTATTCTGATGCATGCTCAATAATCCAGGTAGAAAAATCCAAAAAAGTTCAATCTGGTCCTCTGGACATTCAAAAAAACAAAACAAAGCCAAAAAAAAAAAAATGTAGAAACGTTTCATCTTTCATTCGAGAGACTTCCTCAGTCTGAGGTGCTGTTTTCAGCTCAGTCTTATAAATAGCACCTTCTCAGAGTGGATCAACCAGTTTGCTGCTGACAACCAAAACCGGCTGATCACATGCTCAAGAAGGACCATCAGCCTAACAATGGGTCATTAGCACACTGATGGCTGTTTACTATTCACAGAGGGCTGAGTGATACTAGCAATCACAGCATTGTAAGAGGGGGACAGTTGAACCCGGAGGCCTCCACCCCTGTTTAATGATGGACGGTTTCTTTTCACAAAGATGGCCTCCTTTACTCCTCTCTCAAACCTCTCTCAAACTTAGGAATCAAAATTATTCATGTTCACACTTGTTCATCAAATAAAACAAACTTCATTAATGATTTGTTTTTCTTTCTTAGAAACATAAGAAGAAATAAGATATATATTAGTCAGACTGTAGCTGACTCTGTGTCCAAGGACAGAAAATGTGTAGAAAAACATCAGACATTATTGAAGTCAAATGTAACTTTGAAAAACACGATTCATGGTGAGTCTGGAAGATGAATAAGGGTCAGGGGTCATAGTTAGAGCAGTGCAGTTTTATGCTACACTAGGGACTTGATGCCAGTCCAGATGGCTATCGAGTCACTACAAACCAAACCCATGAGCCATCAGAAGAAACTTCTATGGGGTCAGCCATGACACCATGGTAATCATTGTGGACTAAGTCATGAAGAGAAAAGTTAAAAGGTGTCTGATGACACCCTCCTGGGTCACTGAAGAAAAGGAATTATATTCCAAAGAAAATGCTTAGTCTTTGGAGACGTTCCAACCAGTCAATGTTATGTCCCATCCTTAGTAGCACTGAGGGAAAAACAACGATCCAGCAGGCAGAGCAATAGATCCAAAGTGGAAGCACTCGAGCCAAAGAAAAACCAAACCAAGGTCCTGTCAGCAAAGCAAACAGGTAGTTGACATCTTAGTGATCCAAGCAGGTATCAGAATGAAGGTATCCTGTGGTAGGTGCCACCAGTTGGCACCGTGGAATGAAGATGGTGGAGTATTCCCAATGAATACTCATATCTCGAGGAGGAACCAGGATGAAGGAAGTCCTGACGTCATCAGAAAGGAAACCAAGGACTGGATCAGCAGGAGGCATGGAAGGTCCAGATGTCATCATGCTGGTGGTACACCCAAATGTGCAACTTTAGACTGGTTATTACTGATGCATCTAACTTTTTTAATAGTAAAAGTAGGAACATGAAGAGGACAGAGCCTAGCGTACAATGTTTAAATGGTTCTTAAACATTTGCTTCATTTAACAAACTTGAATAAAAATGTACTTCATCAACAATGTAACTTAAAGTTTTAAACTAAACAATTTTATGTTTGACTACTGATGTGATAACCAATAAAGATTCAAAAATACGTGAGATCAAAGGTTTTGGAATGTTATAATAAGGAGTGATTCTCTATTGATGAAATAATTGTTATCTTTACACGATTTTTCGGCCAGAACTAATGAGAGAAGTCGTTTCTCTGGTAAATATTCTGAAGTAGAACTCATAAAAGGTGTACTTATAAACAGTGTTTGAGCATCCCTTTCAAAATGTAGCTGTAGAACAGTTAACCAACAACAATCAAAATGGATCCTAAAACAACTTGGACTTCAGTCCAGCTCAACAATCACTTCAGGATTTTGGAGCAACACGGTTAGGGATCATGCAGAGTGGTGATGTTAATGTTAGCAGTGTTAGTTCAGTTCACTCCCACTAGAAACTAGTGGCTTTGTTATTGAATTCTGTTCATTGTCTCCGTTTTGTTTTCACACTTTCGTACTATATTTGCTCAACCGTGTTTGAGTCCGGTTCGAAGGAATGTGTTGAAAACGTAGGATTGTCAATGTTGCAGCGATACTGTCCTGTATCTAATGACAGAGGATCACATCATTGATGTGTACTCTGTTTCTAGGGATATTCCATAAGAATTTTAGTTCATCTTGTTTTGGATGTAGCTGTTTTTGACTTTCAGGGAATTCTTGTTGTAGTTCCTTCACACAGCGTTTGATTATTTGAGATTGACAGCATGTTGAACATCCTTTGATGTAATCAGTGACGTCTTCACTCATTCCAGGCCAGTAGACGAGTTGTTTTAGAGCAATGAGTGTTGCTTTGACACAGAGAGAAGGTCATGGGCGTTATCCATTCTCACCCCCTGTATTTGCGTGGAACCACGAACACAGGTGAAGTGGTTGCATCAGAAACATACTGTACATTAGGATGCCCTTGACCAACGTACGTGACGAATGAACTTTGTAGAGATCGTGTAACTTCATGCTTCATGTGAATAAATTACTCCTTACAAAAGACAGAAACCACATTTACTACTTCTCTTTTTTATCAGACTGAGACACAGTCAATCTGAAATCAGACACGTGACTTCATCAGTCGGACTTTTCACCAGTCTGTATTTGTAGGGTGGATGTCTGATGAAGCAACATGGTTGGGATTGACTGTATCGTGTGAGCAGAGTGAAGTTCGGGTCTCGTTATGTGACTGCATTATGTAAAACGTAAAGAAGCAGTGGGTCTGAAGAGAATCTGTTGAAACAGAACAAACTGTTCGTGTTAAGTGTTTTGGTTGGCCAACACACGTTACCAAATATCATTTTAGGGAACCAACCGCAGCTTGAGCCAGTAACTGAGAATACACGCATTTAAAATTACTTTTAAAGTTTATTCAAAGAAAAAAAAAGAAAACAATTTCAGGAAAATACAAGACTTCCTGTCATACACAGAGAGACATAAGTTAGAGAAGCATGGCAGAAACAGAGGATGAACACGTCACCTCACATCCAAGCCTGCGGGGAACGTACTGCTAAATGTTTCCATGGTCGAGTAGCTTCACATGAATACCTGAATTGAACAACACGCGTGTTCGTTACTGTTTTGTAAGTAGTGCGGTGTAGGGGACGTGACGAAAAAACTAAACAAAAAACTAAACAATAAATATCCAATAAAAACCAGGCTCAAAAAGCAGAAACAGAGAATATGATGCACGGAACATAAATATTGTGATGCACATTAGTGTAACAAAACGTCGCCTCTGTAAACATTTTTCCACCTAAGGTGAGTATAATAATATTAAACCACCGCAGTCACATATTTACGTGTACAGATTTACGAAAAAAAAATTAAGTGTCTCAACTAGCTCTAAAACTTATGAATACACAATGCTTCAAGTTATAATTTCTATTTTTTATTTTAAAAGAAGTGGTTCTCATAACAATAGGGTTACACGCTTTAAATGCTGCCCTCTTGGCACCGTTCCCAACTTTGAGCCTGCGAGTGGCTGCGTTTGTTCCACAAGAAATCAATTTTATTGAGCCCAATAACAATATTGACCAAAACCACAATTTTTGTCACAAAGTCGTCTCATCAAGGCCTCGATGCAGTTTGAGACATGGTGGATACTATTGCACACACAGACCTCAGCTTCTTCATACATGAAGCAAGAGAAACCAAGTGAGGAAGCTTTTGAAGAGTTGAGCTCATGTTAGCATGGGGGGGGGGGGGGTGAACGTGTTCGTGTCCTGATGAAAAACATGCTTCGACATGAAGTCACTGATCAGATTCTCCTCTGCTCCCTGTTTTGGATGAACATGTACAATCTTTGAGAGTCTATGGAAACGTAGGAACATCCAGCTGAAGGAGATGAACGCTCCAAAAATGGAGCAGGGATAAAATGAAATACAAATAATGAACTTCTGTCTGAGAAAAAAAAGGTGTTTGCATTCAGGTTTATAAAAAAACAGCTGAGTGTGGGAAAGCTCTGCTCCGTGTTGCTGGTTTGAGGAACACGTCATCGCAGAAATACTGGGTACGACTTATGAATGAAACGTTTTCAGCTTTCACATAAACATAAAAGCAAGCGAGATTCTCAAAGTGCCTGAAGCACGACCGGCTTGCTTCCACACACGTTGCAGAAAAGGGAAAACTCTAGAGCTGACACAGACTCCACTGTTGCAGCTTTGAATCATCTCAGCTGGAAACTGAATGTGACGAGACACAAAGCAGAACATGAACTCAAACATTGTCTCGTGCCTTGGACCACGGAGCAGTTCATGTCTTCCTACATTCTGGACTCTTAGTGCAATAGTTACGTACAAACAGAAACCAAAGGTGAGCTGAAAGACGGAAAAATGGAAGAAAAGTCCGCCTCCTGTGCTGAAACAAACCTGCCGGCCGTGGGTGTACCACTCTGCCACCGCACCACTCTCCAACCACGCACACACCTAAACACACACTCACATGCTAAAGTCCTTCTCTACAATTCCAGCTCCATTATCACATTATTTCCAAATATCTAACTATTCACAGCAGCTCGAGTTTGAGAGCTGACCTGTCAGGATTGACAGCTGAGGGTGTGAGTGGTGGTGGGGGTGTTACTGTACACGGACACACTGCTTTTATTTCACTTCTAGGATCCAATCCACACGCACTCTTTAAAATACAACTGGCTCTTTCAGAATAAAAGCAGGCAAACTGTTGGTGGAAATGTTTAAAAATAAAAGCGTCACATGATCACACTTTTCTTCAAGGAATAATAACAATAAAAATAAAATACTAATTTTAAATCTTTCTTTCTTCGTAAAGCACCTGTCTCTGTTTCCCTTCGTGGATCCACCTCCTTGCTATGTCCTTCCAATCACCCAGTCTTGACATGAAGTCCTGCTCGCCCCGCTGGCACCAGGACTTATAATTCCCCTCCGCTGGCTCGGCTCTAACCTGCGTTAATACAACACTGACTCGTTCAGGAAACAAACAAACAGAGGGTGAGAAGCTGAGCTCTGTAAAAAGGCAGACCTGCAGAAAGGAGAAGAAATGAAACGAGCATGAAGACCTGGAGCTCAGTGAGCAGCTGGTGACAACAGAACGTGAAAGATACAAAACTGAGCCGACCAGCGCCAGAAAACCAAACGCCGTCTGCCGTCCTTTCTTGGATTCACATTTGTTTTCTTTTCTAGAATACACAAACCGTTTCATTTTCTACACAAGTCTTCAGGTGTTTCAGTGCTTGGACTGGTTTGGACTGGTTTGGTTGTTGCAGGTTTCAGCTCAGTGGCAACAAACTGGACCTGCTGCGTCAGAGGGCTGGGTGGCTGCTGTGTAGGTTCTCTGTTGCTGACGGTTGACAAAACATCACAGGTGGGTTCTGAGATCCAGTGTTAGTGAGGTGGGGGGTTACAATGAGAAGGACGAGTTGAAGGAGGAAGAGGAGGGTGGGGCGTGGACCTCTACCAGCTGAGCAGGTTGCTTCGACCCAAAGTCATAAAGTAAACCTGACTGGAGCCTCCGGCCCGAACAGAGGCGAAAAACACCTGAAGAAGAGACATGGACACGTCAAGCTTTACTTTCATTGAAAGTTATGCAACTAGAAGAATAACCAAATACAAGAAAATCTGAAATGTTTCTTAAAACTATATGTTAAACCGGAAAAAGCTTCTTAGTAATTTCTCATGTGAGCCATCAAAACGTTAAAATCCCCCAAAAGTCTGATATTGCTCTAATATTACACTGAACTCAGGACCAACAGATGCAGAGTCCAGAGAAGAGAAACTGAAGCGACTTCACCTCATTTCTACAGCTGAACACACAAAGCTTCAGTTTTACAGTTCAATCTGACATGTTTAGGGACAGTCAAAATATAAAACTCTTTTTGGTTTAAAAACCAAACTTGTTATTTTTAGGTTTAAATGTTTACCTTCTCTACATATACAGTTCATATTTATGTAAAAATTCAGCTTTAGAAAACTTAAAATCTGCAAACGAACAACTAAGAGCACAGTTCCATCTGAGAGGTACTGTTCAAATTCAGGATGGAAGTCTCACCTTGTCGTTTCTTTCACAAAGGAACTTGAGCCTCTGGGCTCTCTTGTGCATGAAGACTCCATCAAGATGGCCCGTCTCCACCGAGCGGATCTCTATGGCCTTCTCACCCCATCCCATAATCTGATTGGAGCGAATGTAGGCTGGAGAGAGACGTGCAAGTTAGAACATTGTTTCAAAATACAAGACAACGCCCGTGCAGTCATCTAGTCGTATATTATGAAGGTGGTACACACTCCTGAACAAAAACAGTTAAGCACCCAGACAGATGAGATGGACAGCAGAGGGACACTGCTGGTTTTCTGTCAGAGGGGGTGGCACCGCCTCAGGCATGGAAACAAGCAGTGATTTATGCAAAGCACTATAAGGCCATGTTTACATGGAACAACCTCTGAAAACTTTAGTGTTTTTTCAATGTTTATTGGGGGTAAGAAACAAAAAATGAGCGAGTTCATATGAAAACGCAATAGTTTCCATGTCAGTTGGGTTGCCAGATAAGAAATTATGAACTATGGTACTGTGGCTTTAAAATGATAGTATTTTGACCTAAACTACGGTACGAAACTCTTTTACCTGTGCTGTGCCTTGTGAGAGGTGACGTGAATAAAACAGCGTCTTGTCATATCACTGAAGACACGGTCCTTAGAGGCTAACAAGACGGCTGTTAGCCTGAGGACTGTATCTTTAGTGATATGATAAGACGCTGTTTTATTAATGTGGCGCTGCCTCCTCTCACTGTAAGACTTGAACGTCTGTGGACAGTAGTTCTTTTTCTGCCCGTCTGTGCAGCTAACTTCATGCAGCCTCCCCCTCCTCCCTCACAAGCAGCCCCTCACTGCTGCAGTTCACACACGCGGGATTCGCTGCCAAATATCACGCTGCACAGCAAATTCCTTTTTAAGCTCAGTAAGCCAAACTTAAAGACAAGATATGTCACAAATCATTTCAAAATGTAAAAAATAATTTTGCTGTGTATAATGAATGTATAGCATATACTTTTCTGCATCCACTCCATCCAGACTGGACTCTCTTCTTCACCCATTTACCACACTCCCCATCCAGGAAAATGGTGAGTGTGGTAAAGAGGTGAAGAAGAGAGTCCAGGCTGGATGGAGTGGATGCAGAAAAGTTTCAGGAGTGATTTGTGACAAAAGGGTGTCAGCAAAGGTCAAAGGAAAAGTTTACAAGACAGTGGTGAGACCAGCTACTGTATGTTGCATAGGCGTCGCAAGCATTATATTTGAAGGGGACAAGTCCCCCCCACATTCAAAAAAACGTTCATTTGGACCCCCCCACCTTTATTATGAAATATTAGTTCAGGCGGCGCAGTTTCTCTTTCTTCGTGAACAAATCCATTCCACTTGATTAATAGGAGAATACTCAAGCCACTAAAACCCCACTCCAGGGTTTCCTGGCTACCTCCAACTCTCCACTGTCTCCTCCTGCCTCGGTAGAAAACGCGCACAGGTGGAGGTACCTGTGTTACTCGCTCGTTGATGAGCAGTTGTTGACCGGGGGGGGGGGGGGGGGGGGTTGATCATCAACACATATTCATGTTAGGAGGATGCTTGAGGGGAGCGCTACGTAGCATGTTAGCTTAGCAGTAACTGTGACGCTGTAAGACGCTGTAGGTGTAAGAGACGCTGTTTGTTCAGGTGCATTAAAGTTGAAATGTCTTTAAAACCCCCACACCTTATTGTCCTCAAGCTTCATGAGAAACATCATTTAGATGAGTAGTGTTGAACACAAGTAAAAAAGTCTAGGGGTGATGTTTTTTATTTCTCTATAAACACAAATAGTGCCGACCTGACGCTCTGTTTTAAAGTGTATTAAAGTTAAAATGTGTTTAAAACCCACAGAAACTTGGTGAGAAATATGTTTTAAATGTGTGGAATTAAAGGAAATTGAGGTGAAATGTTGCTTTTGTTCACAAGTGAACACCTTGTTTTTTACACGCGCACACACACACCTACACACATCATTGTGTCCCCCCCACTTTATGGATGCTTCTGACGCCCTTGGTATGTTGTATGGTCTGGAGACAAGAGACATGGACAAAAAGACAGGAGACAGAACTGGAAGTGTCTGAAATGAAGATGTTGAGGTTCTCCTTAGGAGTGACAAGGCTGGATAAGATTAAGAATGAGATCATCAGAGGTACAGCACAGGTTGAACAACTGGGAGATAAAGTTAGAGAGGCCAGACTGAGATGGTTTGGACATGACCAGAGGAGAGACAGTGGTTTGGACATGACCAGAGGAGGGACAGTGGTTTGGACATG